ACTGCGTGTCCCACACGTATAATCATTCATCAGAAAGTAAAACCTTGTTAACTAAGGACAGCCCTGCAGAAGCTGGAAATCTAAACCACTGGTTGCTAGGTAAACCAGAAGTATCCAGAAATTTAAAAAAAATACACCCTGGGATACGATTCCAAATCTAGTATGATGAGCATTAATCTCCCAGGAACCCCAGGACTGGAATGGCCCTCGGGGTGCTGAAGTCGCCTTCACCGTTTTTTGTTTTGTGTTCTTTGGGTTGTTTTTTTTTTTCCCTTCACTGTTGTAATACTCGGTTATCATCATAAACATTTGGGGTGGGTTAACGAAATGGAACTGCACACCCCACTTTCAGAAACTGGCACCATGCTTTCGCAGAGCACCCGTGGATCATCGCCGGTCCTCTAGCACCAGGTGCCGCAGAGTTGAAGCAGCCTGTCAAGGGTCACACGGCAAAGCTCAGTCGGCCTCGAGCCTGCGTCCTGGGCCTATGTTCTTAGCAGGTGCAGGGGAGGTGGAGACAACACGGGCACAGGGTCCTGAGACCCTCACCAGCCTGGCGAGATGACCCCTTGGCGCGGTGGAGAGTACGGCATGCCAGCACGCTCCCCAGGGAGGAACCTGCGGGCTTTCTGACGGCCACCACAGCAAGGCATGGTGGGCCTGTGGCCAAGGCTGGGGCACAGGGTGGCCAGGGGAGGCAGCACCATTGACAGCTGTGGGGCGGAGGATCTGACCCCAGACTTACCGGCTGGGCCATCCCAGCAGGACGGAGGAGACAGACAAGGTCCGGCCTACGGGGAGTACAGGCCGGCTGTGAAGAGTAGGAATGATTGTTCATTGGGCAATTCGGGGTGGAACAGGAGCTAAAGATCCGTGCCGGTTATTTCCAACTCCTTATTACTGCCTAGAACTCTCGAAAGGAAGTCAGCTTTGCAGTCGGACAGACCTATTTCCAGCTCAGAAGTCCCCATAACCCTTTCTGTGAAGTGAAGGAGAACTTCACTTTCTCTTGTTAAACAGCATAAAAAGAGGCCTGCCTTCCTGAGGGGTCGAATTACATGAGAAGACAGGCCAGCACCCCTCTGGTGCCCAGCTGCCCTCTGCTAAGCAAATAAAGGAGAGTTACCGCAGCGGGCTCATAAAACGCTTCCGGGAGAGAAGCGCTGGCCACGCCAAGTGCAGGGTGCAGGCCAAAACAACGCTCTGACCGTAAAGGGAGGGGCTCCAGTTTCCTCCTTGGTCTTAGGAATTAAAATATGGCTTGAAAGTTTTCTTCTTTGTAAATTCCCCAGTGTCTTAGGTGTGTCTCTGGACTTTTTTTCTCAGAAAGGCCGCCAAGTTTTCAAAATCATCTTTGGAAGTCATTCAAAGTCTCAAATTTGAGTACTCTTTTTTGGTATCAGAACTACATATGCTTGGGACCAGCAGTTAGCGTAATGGCTATGTCACTGGACTCCCACCTAGTCGACCGCAGTTTGAGTGCCGACCCGGTGGCTTAAACTCATGCCAGGCGTGTGCGTGCGTGCCCAAGATCCCGAGAGGAGAATGGAGGAGAAGGGATTGCGGCATGGCCATCCCCCCTGGGGGGTGATTTCTCGCTTTCTGTCTCTATGTCTTTCTCTGTCTGGCGAGCACATGCGCACTATAGCAAAAACGTCTCCCCCCAAAAAATAAATAAATAAACTACATATGTTTAAAACTAACAGTTGTTCTCGTTAAAAATGTTTCTCATTTTCACCTCTCAGCTCAACCCGAGATGTTGAATATTCTAAGGAAGCAGAGGTGTTTCTTCCTTTTATAAAATAAGAAGCTGACAGCTCTCTTTGAGATGTTAAAAACAGGTGAAAATCCGTGAACAGTGAATGTCCCCGGGAGTAGGGCTGAGCCTGGAATTTGTACATAGACCCCGTGTTATTTAAATTGGTGTGGGCATAGACCACTTCAGTGATTTTTGATGACCATTCAAAAAGCAGGTGGAATTCTGTCAGCCAAATCTGTTCTTTCCATGAAGCATCCGATTGCAGGAAGATGCGCACGTCTGAGTGTGTAAGGGGCAGTGCCGACACGGGCCATCCCTCCTGTCTTAGCCGCCCAGGGCCCTCACGGCTCTGCTCTGGGGCGAGAATGAAAAGTGGCCTGGAGAGCCTCAGGTCTGTTTCTGATGACAGAGCTCAGAGCCGAGGGGTCTGGGAAAATGATTCAAGTCCTGGTTTGGTCGGTCAGCAGATCCAGACCTCACCAGCCTGAAGACCACTCCTGCCTTTTTCTTTTCTTTTTTTTTATTTTATTGTTGTTTAAATCTGACCAGAGAGAGGGAGAGTGAGAAAGTAAGTCGCCAGGTCCAGGATTCGAACTGTTATCGACCACATGGGAGCCTCACACCTCAACCACCACACCCCCTGCTGGCCCCAGCCACTCCTAATCACTGCACTGCCTGGTCCCCACCGCGTGCAGCCGCGCAGCTCCTCCTCCCATGGTGATCTGCCAAAAGCAACAAGGGAGTATTCCCGCACCAGCAGCCCTGCCTTAGAAGGGACAGGGGACGGCTGCCGGCCACGCTGCGGCAGAGAGCCTGGTGGCCACACTCCCACAGGACCCCAGGACAGAGTGACTCAGAGCCGGGCTGCATGGCTGGCGGATGTCACCTAGCACAGGGTGCATCTCTGGGAACCTCCGGGCTCGCTGAGCTACATACAGCGCACGGTGAGAGAGGAGTGCGCCAGTGGGCGGAGGTGGCCTCGGAGCAGCCATTCGCTCTCCTCCGTCTCTGTCGCTCTCTGGCTCTCATTCTCTGTTGCCCACTCTTGAAAGAAGAAAACCTAAAAAAAAAAAATGAAAAGAGCAACCCACCCTCCTCCCCCTCTCCTAGCAATGGTCGCCATGAGTCTCTCCAGGCGTCTGCTCCGTGGTTGTGCCTGGTGGCACCAGGGTCCTCCTGACCTCACCTCTGCAGACCACTGCCCACTCAGCACAGCCATCGGGACCAGGGCTCAGCCCCCTGGGAGCCTGGCCGGGCAGTGGCTGACAGCACGGCTGCAGTCCCAAGCTCAGAGGCCCGTTTCTTTGTGTGGGTTAGCTTTGGTTCCGCAAGCACAGACAAGCAGACAGGCTGGAGCACAGTGTCCCGGCCCCGCTTGCTCCCCAACGACCTGGGCAGGTGGCCTACCCTGCATCTCTAAGTAGTGGCAAGAGGAGGATGCATACAATGCACCGTCGACCCAGGTGCTGGCACCTTCCCGGGAGCCACCAAGGTCGGACGTCAGCTCGCGTGGCAAAGCACACATCCCATGCACACACTCGCGTGCCTTCCAATGCTGGCTCAGACTGGGGCTCCTGGTGGCTGGCCCATGCCCCTTTTGTCATCTACACAGAATCCACCCTTCTTCTCAGCCAGGGACAGCCTGCCCTGTGCTCGACACAGACGTGGCCACCACGTGTGTTCCCTCGGTCCTTGCTGGGCGGCACGAGCAAGCCCCTAGTCCTGGACCGTCAGAGCAGCAGCCCGGCTCCGTGGGCTGCCCTTCCTGTCTGAGCCCTCTCCCAGCATCTCCTGGATGGCAGCCCCCAGGTCCAGGGCGCACTTTCAGTGTGCCCAAGGCGTAGCAGTGGCTGCTCCGCTCACAGCCGTTGGCAAGGTCTCGTGGGAAGGGACCATGGAGCCACGGTGCCCACCTGACCTCAGGGGTCCTGCCCAGACCCTCGCAGGCCTCCATGGCTGCCCTGGCTCAGGGCTGTCCTCTGGCAGCTGTCACTTCCCTCGCCAGAGCCACCTGCACCAAGGGCAGGGAGGGCATCGGAGGAGCTCCTGGAGGGCCAGGGCGAGAGGGCTGGCTGGGCTGGGGTTCCAGCACAGCCCTGGCAAAGGCTCAGCCGTGTGTGGTGAACACCCTCATCTCTCCTGTGGACTGTCGCCGTCTCTCGGGTCCAGGGCATTGGACGCCCTGATGCCACCGGAGGCCTGGGTCCCACACCTGCGCGGGTGCCCACGCACCACTCTCGGAGGGACACCCAGAGGTGCTCCCTGCTGGAAGGGAGCCCAAAGCATGTACGTCATCGATCTACCCAGCTGCTGCCCCGAGCCCACTGTGACCCGGCCTATGAGCCAGCCCACCACCCCTCACACTGCCCAGCCTCAGCCCATCTCTGCCAAGCCCCACACCCTGATAACGCAATTCCCTGGTCTTCGGCACAGACGGCTTACAATGCCATGTGACAGTCACATAGCTGTCCCCTCCAGCGGGGGTTCCCCGAGGCCAAGCACAGTGTCTTCTGTGTCCCCAGGGCACATGTCTGGTGACTGGGCCTCCTACACATGTGATGCCCCCTTCTCTGCACCTTCACTCAGGCCGTCCCTGTACCTCATGGCCTAGTCACCATCAGGGTGCAGGACAACCTGCGGTGTCCCAACCTCATGACCTAATCACCATTGGGTGCAGGACAACAGGGGGTGCCCCCACCTCATGGCCTAGGCACCCTCAGGGTGCAGGGCGACCTGCCTCCTCTAGCCGCTGTGGGCACCGGCTGGGGTGTGGCTGCCCCGTGCAGACTGTGGGAGGCGCCCCTCGCCATCTAACAGAGGGGAGTGAGAGACCCAGGACGGGCTGGAGCCACGCGGCTGCCGAATGGCAGGGGGGGCAGAGCCTGGCCTGGCCCCGAGCCCGTGTTCCCTGCACTTCACCAGCGGCCCAGACCAGCCCCTGGAGGGTTTTACAGTCCCACTCCTAGCCGCATCCAAGGAGCGACCGGAAGCTCCTCAGCGAGGGCTCCGGGACCACACTAAAAGTTAACGTTCAACCCCGGGCATGGCGCCGCACAGCTCTGGCCACGGCCGGGCGAGCCTTCTCTCTGTGCTAAGGTCACGGCGTGCTCTCACGTCCCAAAGCTGGCTTTTCCTCTTGGGCGTGGCCGGCTCTACCCTTTAGGAGAATTCCAAGGCTGCCGGTGCCCTACCCACCGGTGCCGCCTCTGCCACGCTGAGAGTGAGCCAGGAGGCCCCAAGGGAGACCTGTGATGAGCAAGGTCCCTCCGAGTGAGGTCCGACTGCGGCACCATGAGGCTTCTGGTCCTCTCCAGCCTGCTCTGCACCCTGCTCCTCTGCTCCTCTGTCTTCTCTGTCGAAGGTAGGGCTGAGGCCTGGGGGGCTGATCCCCTAGAAGGGCTCCGCAGAGGCTGGTAGGCTCCATCAGGCTGTTGGGGAGGGTGGCCCCGCAAGCAGTCCTGAGCCCTGGGAACATGGGCCCTCTCTGGAGCCAGTGCACCCCCTCTCTCACAGGGCTGCCCGACAGTGGCCTGGAGTCTTGGGACCCCGCGGTCTCCATCCACAGTCCCTGCTCCCCTAAAACACATGCACGCTGTAAGTCAAGAGTGTGCCTCCCTGCAGACTCAGCTTCCAGCCAGAGGGCTGCCCCAAACCACCTGGCCGTACCGCGTGGTGCTCGGGACAGGGCGGACGACTACACCAGCCACAGGCTGAGCGCGAGCCCCTCACTCGCGCACGGAGAACACCCCAGGCAGACGGGACGAGGGCTGTGTGCAGGGTGGATGCTGCTGCTGTGGCTTAGACAGCAGCTGGTGCCCCAGAGGTGTGCGTTTGGAGCGTGGTCCCGGAGTGCTGTGGGCGGTGGTGAGCCCTTTACGAGGTCGGGCCTACTGGGCGCCCTTAGGATGGTGGAGGCCTCGCCCTCAGAGAGGGATGGCCACTGTGTGGGACGGAGTGAGCTCTGGTTCTCGGAGGAGGGGCTGCTTCTGGGAGATGGAGGAAAGGAAGAGGGCTGACCTGCTTCACCTCTCACCACGGCCTGCTGTCCTCTCTGTTGGCCGCACTGGGCTTTCCAGTCCAGAAGTGGGGGCCCAGGGAGCCTCTGTTCTTTGTAGAACCAAGACTCGGTATTTGGTTAGCAACACCATCGCGGATCGAGTCGGGAGTGTTGACGCACGTGCAGAGAGGGGGCGTCTTCTCACTGCTCTGGGCCTGAGTTTAGCTCTCTCCTGCCTTGCTTTCTTTAGTTTTTGCCAGAGGGCAAGTGTGCTCGCTGGAGAGAGAGACAGAGAGACACAGAGCAAGGGAAAGTAAAAAGTCACTCCCCAGAGCGGATGGCCATGCCATAATCCCTTCCCCGTTCTCCTTTTGGAATTTTGAGCACTCACACACCTGCCCGGCATGATTTTTCTTTATTTTGGAAAGAGATATGTTTGATATAGGGCAATGTGCACTCGCTGGAGAGACAGTAGGACAGAGACAGAAAGCGAGTAACCACCCCCCAGAAGAGATAGCTACACCACAATCCCTTCTCCATTCTCCTCTCGGGATCTTGAGCATACACACACATGCACCCAGCGTGAGGTTTTTTTTGTTTTTTGTTTTTTGGTTTTTTTTGAGAGATTTTTCACTGTAGGGCGCGTGCGCTCGCCAGACAGACAGAGAGAGACATAGAGACAGAAAGCGAGAAATCACCCCCCAGGGGGGATGGTCACGCCGCAATCCCTTCTCCTCCATTCTCCTCTCGGGATCTTGGGCACGCACGCACACGCGCCCGGCGAGAGTTTTAAGCCACCGGGTCTGGGACACGTGGACACACTGGACACCGCGGTCGACTACGTGGGAGTCCAGTGACATAGCCATTACGCTAACTGCTGGTTCCCCACCCAGCGTGAGTTTTAAGCCACTGGTCTGGCACTCAAATCACTGTCAACTACGTGGATATCCAGCAACATAGCCACTATGCCATCTGCTATTTCCCAGCACGATTTTTTAAGTCGCCAAATCTGGGATTCAAACCACAGCCGGCCATGTGGGAGTCCAGCATGTGACTGACCATTATGCTACCTGCTGGCCCCATGCCTTGCTTCTTTAAAATTTAAGTTCTCTTCATTGATTGATTTTTGGTCCCATGTAATCACTGACCTATTTATGGGTTCCAGTGTGATGTTTGGTTCATGTATGTGCTGAATTATGACCAAGTTCTGATAACTGGCACATCTGTCACCTCGAACATATCTCATTTCAGGTTATAAGATTCTAAGTCCTCTTCCGCTATTGGAAACTAGCACTGGCTACTGCTACCCGACCCTGCCATGTCACGTGGCACTGGGCACCCTCCTCGCTGCCTCTTCCTGCAGATCACAGGGTGTCCTGAGCTTTCCTCCTGCAGAACCCTCCTGCCTACTCCCACTTCTCCTGCTAGCTGTTAGGGTTGTTTTAACCATCACTGCAGCTGGGATGTAGAGACATGTGAAGCCGTTCCGGCGTCCCCACACCTGTTCTTTCGTGTCCACCTGCAGGGAGGAGGCGCCCTGCCAAGCCCTGGAGAGCCAGGCCCTGCTGCCGGCAAGCTCCCAGCCCTGACACGGTGGCCCTGAAAGGTAGGCGCCGCACCCTGCCCAGAGGCAGGCCAGGCCCGCACAGCCTGGGACACCCAGCCCGCCCCGCCCGGCGTCGGTGCTGACTCTGACGGAAGGGCCTCGGGCAGGTGTGATCTCAGCCTCGAGGAGCTCAGGGTTTAGTGGGGGGAACTGACTCCCAAAAGAGGCATCAAACCAACCTCTGTGAACTGAATATGTTCTGTCCAGGACAAGAGCGGACCGGAATCACAGAATGGTGTGGGCTCCCCACACCTCGGGTGGGAGGTGTTGGAGGAGGTGACTGTGAGGCCAAAGAAAAGCTGAGCCCACCCACGAAGGATGGGGCGGGGAGGGGCGCAGG